AGGGACATGGTTTAGTGGTGGACTTGGCAGTGTTAGGTTAACGGTTGGACGTTAAGGGCCTTTTCCAACCTAAATGATTCTATGATCTTTATTTTCCAGATGTTTCTGTAAACCTTTACTTCCTCGATTTGGTACCATATAGAAACTTCATTTTTATGACCTGTTTTAATACTGAACTGAAACAATTTCGGAAAACCTCATCATAATTTGTCAAAAAATATTGCTAAATCACAAGGTGACCCTGGAGGGATAATAAATGAGTCTCCTGTAGACCACGTCTGACCTCTTAAGAAAATTAGTCCCTATCCCTCGCTCAGCAGCTCTTGGACACAGATGAGGAGGCTGTTTTGAGGGCAGCAGCCCACCCCTTGCCATTATCTTTCCCCAAAGACCTTGTAAGCTTATCCCGTAAGTGATGTGTGGTTTCGTATGTTGGCCTCGGAAGAGAAGGCAGAGAGCTGCAGCGTACGTTCATCAGGTATCTTCAGGAAAGATGATGTGGCCACCGCTGCAGACATTTGTACGGATCTGTATCAGAAGACTGAAAGGCAAATAGAATAAAATCGCTCTGCATGGAGGCAATGCAACAAGAAACCATCTCTGTCAGCTCTCTGAAACAGCTTTCTACATACAGCCAGTGTCTACCCAACCCAAAACCCCTAAATGGCATCCAGTCTCCTGACAACTTTTTATTCTTCAGAGATGCAAAAGCAAGATTATTTTATGCTTTTAAAATGATCGTGTTAACAATGGGGGTGGTTTGATATTTTAATTTTGCTTTTAAAATGATAACAATGGGGGTGGTTTGATATTTTAATTTTTTGATGCCAGCGGGAGACTTCAGGGATCAAAATACCTATTGATGTAGCAAAAACCCAGTCCTTTTGAAATGATTTTAGGTCTCTGTCAGCTGTCCAATATATACAGATTTTTCTACCTTTCATTTTTCTGTCATACACTCAGAGGTCTTCAAAAAACCCAATCCTGCCCTCTGCTACTCCCCAAACCACCCACCATGAAGCTTACCTTATGAAGCCCATTGCTTTATTGGTCTGCACGCAACAAATACTGGGCTTAGTGTGAACTTATATGAATTTTTATGTACTTTATAGCCAGAAAGAAATTTCACATTTTTAATGAGAGCAATTGTGTGGTGAGAAGATGAGCGATTCCTATTGACTGAAACAAAAGTTTCTTTCTTCTGCAGGTGACTGGATGTTATTTTTAATGATTGTTGAATACTGTGAAATTAATGTTACGTTGTTGGATTACACCACCTTATTAGTCTCGCAATGCTTGTAAAGGAGGTTACATGCATTAATAATTAGTGTAATGAAAAACCTTAGATGTTTAGCGGGGGTGTTCAGTAAGAGGACAACGTGTGGCGCCTTGAATGGGAGAAGTCGGGTATGTGATAATGATGTGAAAAGAGGTGGGACCTTGGGTCTGGTCTTTGAAGGATAGAAAGGCAAATTGAAAGGCAAATTGGTTTGCTTAAGCTAGCTTGAGGCTCTGCCTCTAAGTATTGGCTGGAGCCTTCATTGACCACATCTAGTCTGTAATATCTATAATTAAACATAAATGCATTGAACTGTCACTCTTATATGTACTTAAGCTAGTTTGGGTAAAAGAAAATCTTTACAAATCTCTTTTAAAGATAGTATAATTCTGGACGTTGATAATTCACATTTGTTTTGTTGAGTATATCCTTTCTGCTTAACGTAGATCCTTTCCCAGAAATTTTTTTTGAAGCTGATAGGATGTTTAGAGAATTGCTTAACGTTTTCGTAACTGTTGTGGGTTAACCACGGTCGGCAGCTCAGCCCCATGCCACCGTTCGCCCACTCCCCCCCGGTGGGATGGGGGAGAGAATCGGAAGGGTAAAAGTGCGAAAACTCATGGGTTGAGATAAAGACAGTTTAATAGGTAAAGCAAAAGCCATGCATGCAAGCAAAGCAAAAAAGGAATTAATGCACTCCTTCCCACGGGCAGGCGGGTGTTCAGCCATCCCCAGGAAAGCAGGGCTCCATCACCGTGTAACGGTGACTTTGGAAGACAAAACGCCATCGCTCTGAACGTCCCCCGCTTCCTCCTTCTTCCCCCAGCTTTATATGCTGAGCATGA